ACCGTTGATTGATGAGTTGGCGCAGTTGTGGTCCTCCGGAGCTCTGACTTATGATATATTGAGGAAACAAAATTTCCTTATAAAGGCGGCTTTGATGTGGACTATTAATGATTTTCCAGCTTATGGAATGCTTTCTGGTTGGAGCACGCATGGGAAACTCGCATGTCCATACTACATGGAAAACAACAAGGCATTCATGCTAGCAAATGGAGGCAAAACTTCTTTTTTGACTGTCACCGTCGCTTCTTGCCACTTAATCATAGGTATAGAAAGAACAGAAAAGATTTCTTTGTTGGCAGAGTTGAAAAAGATGTTGCATCCCTGTATCTTTCTGGTGAAGAATTGCATGATGTTGTCTCAGAGTATGGTGACATTGTGTTTGGCCTTCAATCAAGTAAGCAAAAGTTTCCTGGTTTTGGTTTAACCCATAATTGGGTAAAGCGAAGTATATTTTGGGAGCTTCCTTATTGGAAGACCAATCTACTCCATCATAACCTTGACATCATGCACATTGAAAAGAACATGTTTGAGAACATTTTCAACACCGTCATGGATGTGAAGGGGAAGCCAAAGGACAACATCAAGGCTAGATTGGATATAGCTTTATACTATAACCGTAAAAATATAGAGTTGGTTTATGATGAGTCATGGGTCGCAAAACCAAAAGCAAACTTCGTGTTAGAGACAAACACACAACTGCTAGTCTACAAATAGCTTAAGAGTCTGCGTTTTCCAGATGGACATGCATCGAACATATCACGGCAGGTTAATGTAGAGGACTGCAGATTGTATGGAGTGAAGAGTTATGACTGTGATTGTGCATCAAAAGTGTCATTAAGTCTCTTATTTTACATATATATTTATTGTTTTTATTTGGTTTTTTTTTATAATAATTGATGTGCTTTTCAGTAATGAAGTTTGTTTTAATGTTTCGATAGGTTTTTGGAACTTATTTTACATAAATATATTGTTTTATAATAATTGATTTATTTTGGGTAATCCATTGATCCAAGAAGGCAAGCACATGGATGGAAAGCTAGAGGGGACATTTTTACATTATTTAGGGTCAAAAAGAAGAAAGAGATAGCTCATAAATGAGGAAGAAAAACGTGCATCAAAGTAGTTGCAAAGCTGTCCTGATTTGATTTTTCAGAACACCTTTCGGTGTTTTACCCATAACTTTTTACTCAGGTGTCCAAATGATCTGGAAAGGTGACAAAATTTCCTATAAATATGTCTCTAATAGACTTTTCCATAAGAGGCTTCTAAGAGGGTCAAATTGCTGTCCAAAGTTAGAGTCAGATTTGTGTCCGAATTTTTTCTGAAATTGTGTTGTGTTCTTTATAGATTTCAGTTCTTTA